AGAGAGAGAGAGAGAGAGAGTGTGTGTGTGTATGTCTTATGTATGTGTGTGGTGTTCTTTGAGATAGGTAAACTTTCCGACGTCTGAAGCTTCCGACGATTAAGGTTAAAAGGAAAGCATCAATGCCAACGGTGGTGGTGACCAGTGTTGGTGGCGACAGTGATGCTGACCAGTGGTGGTGATCTTTTGCATTGTAAGAGAGAGAGGGTAGGGTAGGGGTAATATTTTCTTTTAACCATAAAAATATTTAAATAAATAAAAAAAACTCAAAAAGAAAAAATGTAAGAGTAAAATCGTCATTATAAAAAAATTCAAAGCAAATTGGATCATACCGGCAATAAAATGAAAAATTTGGATCTCTAGTACTAATCCAAACTTTGTTGGACCAAAATGACAATTTTAAACTAACCACCATTTGTGTAGTTTTATAAATAACAAATACCATACCCAAAATATGATAATCTAAAACTCTTCAATAACAAATTAAAATGCCAATTGTTTTTTTTTTATTTTTTTATTTTTTTATTTTTTTTAATAGCACGAGTAATTTTTTTTAGTTATATCTTAGGCTCGCTTGAATTACTTTTTGAATCGTCCGTCACATACCCTAGTTTTTTTTATTCTAGATCCTCTATCCTCTGTTTGCGTATGGGGGAATCAGACAAACTATAACAATAAGTAGGCATGGGGATGGAACACCCAAGAATGGTAATTGGGAAGCGTAGTATAATGGCTAATGGGTTGATTGCATTGATGATGATGACTTGACGACAACCCCTTTTTCCTTCTGTATCTATATATAGATACCAGACATCCAATTACAAATGGCATCCTCGGCGTCCTTGCTTCATTACACAACACCTCCCGTAATTAATCTTCGAAGAAGCGCTAAATTAGGTTCATCGCCCTCCAATTCGAATCCGAATTCGCCGTCTTCTTCTTCATCTACGTGTTCCTCGTCCTCGTCTTCGTCTTGGCCGTGTTGCCAGGGATTTTCGTGGACTTTCTCCAACTGTTTCGGTAAATTCCTCAAATTTTCCTGTTTCTCGTTTTATCAATTTCTTTCAAACTTCCATGGCTTTTTTCCTTATTACTTCGCTTTTCCTTCTTTTCTTACTACTCAAGAGACAAGATGTCGCAAACCTTTTCACAGAAATTGTCAAGGGTGCGTCTTGTATTCGGATTTTTGTGTCTCATCTTTATACATCATATACGTGTGTCTCCAAAACCAGAAACATAATATCACAGGGAAACAATACAATACTTCGTATTGTTTTTCATTTTCTACCCTAAACTTGATAAAAATTTTGTATTTCAAAGACTCGAGACTTGTGATTGAGAAGAAATATTCATTTACTTGTTCAATTCATAGATTAGCCCTAGCGGATTCCTTGTATACCTAATTTACATCTCAAATTTTTGAGATGCTCCTCTAGTGAATTACTGAAGTGTTGAATAGATTATGTTTCTTTACCTCTGTTTGAATTTGCTCAAGTTGTATTGGAGTTGAAGATAGGGTTACAACAGAGTGGTTTTGTTGAGAGTTTTATGTGGTATGAATATGGAACATTCTTCAACTAAGTTTTTTTGTAAAATTATGTAGGCATAAAACATCTAAGCTTTAGAGCTCAAGCTATGAGCACAACCCAAGGGAACTTTACATCTCCAAGGTCTGCAAATTCTGTCAAAGAAGAACCTGATCATCTTCTTGTCCTTGTTCATGGAATCTATGCAAGGTACTTATAAGATTAACTCCTTTTTAGTAAATTGTAATCCATAATCAGTTGTTTGCAAATTTTATTGCAAAATATAAAGATAAAGTTGTTTGCTTGAGAATTAATTCAATTCCAATTCCTCCTCATTTGTGTAAATGACTGAAATTCCCCTTGTAAAATCACTAGGGTTTTATTTCTTTGATCACTGTGTTTATAAATGGTATTTATCTTTAAGTTTGTATTTATCAAAGAAAAAGTCAATAAAAGTCAATTCTGTGTGATTCAAAATTATGCAGCCCAAGTGACTGGAGATATGTAGAAGCAGAGTTAAAAAGACGTTTGGGAAGACACTTTTTGATATATGGTATGACTTCATTACACTTTTCATTTTCTCAATTATGTTCTTTTTTTACTATTTAGTTGAGTTTTATCTTTTGGTATTTTACTTTATAGAGTTAATTTTTTCCTTTTTTATAATTTGAACATGTCTGCAGCAAGTTCAGCTAACACTTACTCTAAAACCTTTGCTGGAATTGATGGAGCAGGAAAACGGTTAGCAGATGAAGTGAGTACCCAATTTGATGATGTCATGAATTTTAATTTTTGAATTGCATTATTTATGCAATCAAGAATACTTTCAGTGATTTGTTTATTATGTGTAAATTATAATAGCATTCTACTTCCATTTCTTCCTATTGTTTCTGATTTAAAAAACAAAATGAATATACAATGGTATATTAGTTTACTGGATATATTTTGTAAAAGTAGTAACTAATAAGAAAAAATTGAAATTAGCAGAAAACTTGACCTTTTTTTTTTTTTTTTTTTTTGAACAGGTGAAGCAAATAGTGAAAAGTACAGATAGCCTAAAGAGGATATCATTTTTAGCCCATTCACTTGGTGGTTTGATTGCAAGATACGCAGTTGCAGCTCTTTATACTTGTAGTAATAATAATAATAATAAAAATAATAATAATAATACCTCCTCATATGAAAGACCAAATGGAACGATTGCTGGATTGGAGGCAATTAATTTTATAACCCTAGCAACACCACATCTTGGAGTCAGAGGGAACAAACAGGTTTTTTTTTTTTTCTTTTCTTTTTCTTAATATGCAAAAGACATAAATGACTAAAATACCCCTAGAAAACTTGAGTTCATTACATATTGGATTGGGATGTGGAGTGTGGAGTAGGACTAAAATAGCCCTAGAAAACTCGAGTGCATTTCATCATGTCATGTGTGTGTGGAAATAAATAAATGGCCTCTTCATTGAAAAATAGCTTTAGAATTAATTTAAATTTTTTATTTTTAATGAAGCTTCCATTTCTACTGGGTGTTCCGATATTGGAGAGAATAGCTGCTCCAATGGCTCCTATATTTGTTGGAAGAACTGGTAGTCAGTTGTTTCTTACAGATGGTAGACCTGATAAACCACCTCTACTTTTGAGAATGACAACCGATTGTGATGAGGGGAAGTATATGTGAGTAAAACACTCATCTTTTCTTATTCTCTTTCTTTCTTGCTAATTAAGGCTGTGTTTGGTGTACCAGCTGAAAAGCTAGCTGATAGCTGAAAAGCTAGCTGATGGCTTATAAACTAATTGAGAAAAAATGATGTTTGGTAAAAACTAGTTGGAATATAGACAAAATGACAAAAATGAGATTTACGATAATGAGTTTCCTATAATTAGTTAAGGGTATCTTTGGAATATTTTGGAAAAGCTAGTTGTTAGCTGATAGCTGAAAATCTAGCTAATGGCTAAAAAGCTAACTTATAAAAAATGACATTTGGTAAAAGCTAGTTGATAAGGTAGGTGGAATATATAAAATGACAAAAAAGACATTTAAGATGATGAGTTTCCTATAATTAATTAAGGGTATCTTTAGAATATTTTAGAAAGCTCCTGAAAAGCTAGTCTAAGTAGCTTTTTAAAAAGCTAGCTTATAAACTATTTTTTGGTTTGCCAAACACAACAGTTTAAAAATGCTCGAAAAATAAGCTTACTTATCTGCTAGCTGAAAAAGTGATGTTTGGTAAAAACAAGTTGATAAGCTAGTTGAAAGATATAAAATGACACTTAAAAGAATATGGTGTTTATAATTAATGAAGGGTATATTTGGGAAATTAAAAAAGCTCCTGAAAAGCTAGTCTAAGTAGCTTTTTAAAAAGCTAGCTTATAAGCTTCTTTTTGGCTTGCCAAACATTACAGTTTAAAAAAGCTTGAAATATAAGCTAGCTAATAACTGAAAAGCTATCTGAAAAAAGTGATGATTGGTAAAAACTAGCTGAGAAATATAAAATGACATAAAAGGACATTTAAAAGAATATGTTGTTTATAATTAAGGTTATAATTGGGAAATTTTTAAAAAAAGCTAGTCTAAGTAGCTTTTTAAAAAAACTACTTTTTAGTTTTTTTAAAAAAAGAATATGTGATGTTTAAAAAGCATACAGGGAAAAGCTGATTTAATGATATTGTTGTATTACAGGTCTGCCCTTGGTGCCTTTAGACACCGAATTTTGTACGCCAATGCCTCATATGATCGTATCCTTTTTTTTTTTTTTTTTTTTGTGTCATAAGTTAAACCATTTCTCATTGCTACCTGTTTTTTCACTGATGTTTGGATAAATGAAATTGTAAAATGTTAAGTTTCTCTGTATGCATTAAGGTAAAAACAATAAAGCCATGTATTTTTTTTCCTTGAATAAACTGGTATGTGGATAAATGATTTCAAAAATATTTGATATAAAACAACCGAGGGTAGATTTGGAAAAAGTTATGACTTAATGGTTTATCAGATATGGTTGGTCGACGCACATCCTCAATCAGAAGAGAATCTGAACTTGTGAAGGTAAACAAATGGAAGGAATAAAAAATAAAGGGTTTAAAATTTTAAATAATTTTTTCTGCAGTAAGAAAATAAAAAATAATTTTTTTTTGGATAAATTTGGCAGCCTCCTTTGCAATTTTTGGATGGGTATAAACATGTTGTGGATGTGGAGTATTGCCCTCCTGTTTTATCTACAGGAGCTAGTTTTCCTCCCGAAGCTGCAAGAGCAAAAGAAGCAGCTCAAAATGTACCAAATCCCCAAAATACCCTCGAATATCACGAAATCTTGGAAGGTAGTTATTAATCCATCCGTAATATAATAAATTTTTTTTATCGTTTTTTAAGACTAAAAAAAGTGGTTTTGTTTGTTTTAGAGGAAATGATTTGTGGATTACAACAGCTCGGATGGAAAAAAGTTGATGTTAGCTTCCACTCTTCGTTTTGGCCTTTCTTTGCTCATAACAACATCCATGTACGTTGTTGTTTTTTTTTTTTTTTTTTTTTTATGACTTTTTCAAGTATGATATTTTTTTTAGTAAATTACATGAATGGTCCCTATGGTTTGGGTAATTTGCACGTTTGGTCCCTAACTTATTTTTTTAACTCGTAAGGTCCCTACTGTTTGTTTTTGTTGTGCTCTTGGTCCCTGTCTTATCTAAAAAGACTATTTTGCCATTGATTTTTTAATTTATTTAAATAAACACACCCCAACCTCACTTCCACCTCACCTTACCTATCCCACCTTATTTAAATAAATTAAAAAATGAAGGGCAAAATAGTCTTTTTAGGTAAGACAGGGACCAAGCGTGCAACAAAAAACAAACTGTAGGGACCTTCCGAGTTAAAAAAACTAAGTTAGGGACCAAACGCGCAAATTACCCCAAACCATAGGGACCATTCGTGTAATTTACTCTATTTTGTATTTTGTTTGTAGGTGAAAGATGAGTGGTTTCATAAAGCAGGAGCTGGAGTAGTTTCTCATGTTGCTGACACCATTAACCAACAAGAAAAGCAACACCAATCTTCCTCTTTCATCTCTGCAAGTTTGTAGAAAAACAAATTTCAAATAATACTCTTGTTTGGACCATTTTGCCCATGGTATATGTGTATACGCAAATACATATCCTTCCGGATATGCTGTCAAATTAAAATATAATAACATTTTTTTTGTATATGTAGAGCTGTTATTGTTTAGAAGATGAATTTTAGCTGTATAAGTAAATTTGTTGCATATCATTTTGTCTTAGAGTAAATTACACGAATGGTTCCTATGGTTTGGGGTAATTTGTGCGCTTGGTCCCTAACTTATTTTTTTAACTCGGAAGGTGCCTACTGTTTGTTTTTGTTACGCGCTTGGTCCCTACTGTTTGTTTTTATTACACGCTTGGTCTCTGTCTTACCTAAAAAGACTATTATTTAAATAGGAAAAAATGGTGGAGTATGTAAGATAGGGTGAGGGGGTGGGGTTGGGGGTGTGTTTATTTAAATAAATTAAAAAATCAAGGGCAAAATAGTCTTTTTAGGTAAAACATGGATCAAACGCGTAACAAAAACAAACAATAGAAACCTTCCGAGTTAAAAAAATAAGTTAGGGACCAAATGCGCAAATTACCCTGAACCATAGGGACCATTCGTATAATTTACTCTTTGTCTTATTATCATCCAAAAGAAAACAGATACACAGCCATGAATATAGTCGTGGGGTTTCTAGAAAATTGGTAAAGGAAATTACTAAGAGATGATTAAACTGTGCATATTGAGTAAAAGGAACAATTCTATAACATTCCATTTTCAGGACTAGCTTATCTCATCGGGTTGGATCCGGCAGTAGTTCTTGGGTCTAGAAATGGATTGAGCCCATACAAGAACATGAATAGATGTTAGGCACTAAAACGTAATTGTCTAATATTTGTGTTATGATGATATTTCCTTCTTACAAACTTAGAATATTTTATATAATAATTTCGAAGCTTAAACTAATCAACTGAATTTTTAAGAAAATCTCAGGGAGTAATGTTGGAATTTTACTTTTTAGGACATTATCACGTAAGTTTTATAGATTTCAGTGACTTGATACGTTTGTTTAATAAAAATAATCATATCAAATTCCGTGTGCGTAGGTGTGAAATTATATAGTTTCTTTTTTTAGTTGACATGCCTAACACTCTTGGTTTATATTAGTTATTATTATTATTATTTTTTTTCATTTCTACTCTAATAAATCAAAGTTTTTTTTTTGTCAATTGTCACTCTCATTCAATTTGTCAAATGTCATTTTGTGATTATTTTGAATTAATTTTTATTCCACATGTCATTTTATGATTTTTCTATTTTATAAAATTTAACATAATGTTTAAATGCAATAATAAATGCATATTAATTTCCATAATGAATTTTCCTTCTAATTTCAAAATTACTAAATTAAAGCTTCATTAATTTCCTTTATTTATGTATATAAATTATTTGTTTAAATTTAAAAGAGAAAAAAAAAACACTTTAATTTTTATAATTCAATATTTTTCTTATTTTTCTTATAAATTTAAACTTCTCAAATGCATAGAATTTATATTTAGTTTTTTTTTTTTATTTTTTTTTTATTTTTTTTAAATAAACCCATGTAATACATGCTCTCATACCTAGTATACTAATAAATAAAGGTTCATTCTGCCACATGTCTTCTCTCATTCAATTGACCACATGTCATTTTATCATAATTTTGATATATTTTATTTTTATTTGTCATTTGTCTTAATTTTTATTTTTCGATATATCATTAATTTAGATTCTATAAATTAAACGTACCATAATTACTATATTTTAATTTCAAATTCAAAATTTTAAATTTCAATTTAAATTTTAAATAACTCTACAGTTTAAACTTTGTATTTAACATTTTGTTATAATTAACTCGTTTAGTACACAGATTTGACAACTAAACACATAATTTTAATTTATTTTTTTTATTTCTTTTTTCATAATTTTCACTAATTTCAAATTTCAAAATTCAAATAAACTTCACATTTAACCCTTTTGTATTTAACATTTTGTTTTAATGAACCCGTATAATATACGAGTCTCACAACTAGTGGATGAATAGATGATTGTTCATTCTTTTTCAATTAATAATGCCACTGCCTAACTGTGAAAGACACCGAATATCCATTTTGAAAATAAGTTGTATATTATGATTAATCTATTCGGATAATATGAATTATATATAAAATAACATTAATATCAAGACTAAACTGCACAAATGGTCCCTGTGGTTTGCTCAAAATTGCTACTTTGGTTCAAAAAGGTTTGGACTAGCACCAGAGGTCCAAAGTTTTCATTTTGTTGCGTGTTTGATCCATTTTGATTTAAAAATTTTAAGAATGACGATTTTGCCCTTACTTTTTGCTTTTAAGTTTTTATTTATTTATTTAAATACATTTTACAATTTTTATAATTAAAAATAAAACAAAAAAAAGAAAATACTACCCGTATCCCTACCCCACCCTTCCTCCTCTTAGCCCACTACTAGTTATGATATCACCTGTAACACCCGATTAAGGTATTGGCTGAAAGTTGACAATTTGGAGAGGTTCATGCATGAACTCGGCGAGTTGGAGGACCAACTCGCCGAGTAGAGTCGGGTATCTGGAACGCGGGACGGAGGTCACTCAGCGAGTCGGAAGGGTCGACTCGGCGAGTCCGAGCTGTTTAAAGAAAACCCTAATTTTGGGGTTTGCCCCCTATATAAACATCATTATCTGCCCCAGTAGCCTCCCTTAGCACCTTAGAAGAACGTTTACGGCCGCACACCCTCTTGTGAGTGAAGTAAGATCAATTGGGAGCTTATCCTTGAGATTTTGGAGAGGATTCCAAGCTTGAAGAAGAAGTATCAAGGGGAAAACACTAGATCTAGCATCTAGTTCATCTTGGGCATTGATTTGAGGTATGAATCTGTTACCTTAAGCATAAATTCTATTTGAGAGTTGTGACCAACTTTGAGGAAGTGGAAGCAAGCCTAGATCTGGACCTATCACAAGGATATGGTTCCAGATCTGGACCTTCATAGGTCCCAATTATCATAAAGTTGCACCTTTTAGTAAGCTCATTCCCTCCCCATGCATGGAAACCTTGTTGAAGGTTAGTTTTGGTGATTGTGGCCATGTGAGGCCTTGCATGCACGTAAAGTTTGTAACTTTACATGTATTCCACACTAGTAGAGTATAGATCTGAAGTTTGGGACCTTGAGTCCCACTGGAAGAGGCCGTAAACACAATGGACTAATAGGGACTCGGCGAGTCGAAAGGGTTCACGGTCAGGGGTGTACGGTTGGTGGTTTACGGCCGTAAACACTAAGGAACTCGACGAGTCCCTCAGGTGACTCGGCGGGTCGATGAGTTAAGCAGGGAACCCGACGAGTGAGCGACTGTACTCGACGACTCAAGGTCAATATGGACTGTTGACCTTGACTATAGACTTTGACTTTGACCAGGGTTGACCCTGGGGGTATTTATGGGATTATGCTGAGTTAATTACTCATTGATTATAGGCAGTTGGGAAGAGAAGCATAGGACACCTGAATTCAGTTGCCAATTCAGCCTTGTGAGGTGAGTTTTCTCACCATACCAATGGGTCTAAGGCACCAAGGCCGACCCATCTTGTGATAGTTGGTTTACTTGTTATGTAGAGGCGTGATATGTATGTGTGCATGATATGTGGTAGAGATAGCCTTTGTGGCTAACAGTAGAGATCGCCTTATGGCTAATGGTAGAGACAGCCTTTATGGCTGATAGTAGAGACAACCTTTATGGCTGATGGTAGAGATAGCCTTTGTGGCTAACGGTAGAGATAACTTCATGGTTAATTGACATGTGATATGTGGTAGAGGTAGCTTTATAGCTAATGTGATATGTGGTTTGTGTGGGGTATGCTCTGGGGGACTCACTAAGCTTTCAGTTTACCGTTTGTGGATTTGTTTCAGGTACCTCGGAGTCCAAGGGCAAAGGCAAGGCGTGATGATGCGGCGTGCACTCTATCTCTCTTTTCCGATATAGTTTGGGGGACAATCTGATGTTTTGAAAATAATAATGATGTAATGTTGGTGGTTTTGAAAACAATTATTGGGATCTTCATGTTTTATGAAATATGGTCGATTAATTAAAAATGAAAAATTTCATTGAAAAATTTGGGTCGTTACAAGTTGGTATCAGAGCCTTGGTTTGAGGGATTCGGGCATACTCTCGGGTGTGTCAGGACTCAAACTAAGGAAAGGGTAAATTTGTTTTAAAAAATAACATAAAAAGCTTTTGAAAGAAGGAAAATATGAGAGTGCAACGCGCGTGATCATCCGAGCCAAGTAAGTATATCCCCAATATGCTAGTCATGCTATTTTGATATTTGAACTTGGATGATCGTATGGAATTTGCTATGTGTATGCTTTTAAAATTATATATGGTTAGGAGCTTATAGCCTTAGAATGATCGATTTGGCCTTATTTCCTGTTCCTTGTTTAGTTGTGGTCCTAGGGTAGAATCTTTTATTTGAAAGTCTATTTGATCCTATTCTGTGTATAATTTGCATGCATAAAGGCAACCTGTTATGATTGGTCTGTTTGATGTGGGTAGAGGAAATCTTAGAACGGTCTAGGATTTGAGTTATGCGGTGGTTGGTGGAATACGGTTTATTTGTGACGAATTGGAGTTATCAGGTCGAGCCTTGGGGAAAGGTACAGGTAGGTGTGGAAGGTAGTATTTGGACCGTACTACTGGAAGCACATGACCTGTACCCAAGCCAATGTTAGATCTGACAAATTCAAGGAGGACCGGTGTGGAGAGATCCGTTTTATGAAAATCATGATCGTTATGATTTATGACATACCAGTTCAGCATGGTAGTGACACGTTTCGGGACGGGAGGATCAGGATCGGGATCTGGATCTGGGAATGGATCGGGTGACACTACAGACGGCATAGATGAGAGGCTACGTGAGCTTATTGTAGCCGAGGTTACCAGGGGCATCCTTGACGCTACCCCAATCATCTTTGGGACGGTCAAGGAGGGCATAATGGAGATCATGGGGGAGAGACTCAGATCATTCATGACTAAGATTGTTGCGGGTCAGTTGGGGGACCGAACTCCCTCGTTCCGGGAGTTCAAGGCGTGTGGGGCGCCAGAGTTTTTCGGGGCCAGGGACCCCATTGTCAGCCGAAGCTGGGTGGCG